AGTTACTTTATTCAAACATAGGTAATCTGAGTGATATAATATTATACTGAACCTAAATCAAAGAAAAGAATATAAATCCTTTAGCTACATCTAAGGATTTGAAGTCTAGCATGACTCGAAGAGATTATTTTTATATAGCTAATTAAAGAATATGTTATGAAGGTGTTGGATTTCGGGGAGATAGAAGGTGAGGAAGTGTAGGAATCATGCATGCTTCCCAGAAATAGCCAGTTGTTTTTGAGAATTGGCCTGGGCCAGTGCCTAACAACCTGTTGCCAGTTCTTCACAGCCCAGCCACCTGGGCCAACTCCTTTTTTTCTGTCTGTCGTCTGCCTCAGGTAGCCCTGTGCATAGTAGCCCTGTTTGCCCATGGTGTTGAACTGTGGTTTAGTGTGTGCAGCATTCTGGAAGTCGAATAATCCTGTTGAAATTATGTACAGAATCTGTGTAACTTATTATTTGGCATCCAGAAGTTTCAGCAGTGGACTAATAGATGTGCTTTACAATTGAATGATTGAGACGGGGACAAAACTACCTAACCCAATCTCAGTGCTGTAGTTTTATAGCAAATGAAAACTGGGAGCGAGGCCAATGGCCTAAGACAAGGCGTCTGCTGAGTTAAGACGCAAGAATTGTATTCATATGTTTTACGACCACTCTCTGGGAATTCTGTATATCACACTAGTTTTTTTAATATTGTTATGTTAATAAAAGCTATTAATTGTTTGTAGTTCTGCATCTTGAGATGTGTAAAAAACCTTTTAAAATGACCTCAAGTAGGATGCATTTTTTTTTTTGGTCGGTCGTGGGGCTTGAACTCTGGGCCTGGGTGCTGTCCCTCAGCTCTTCAGCTCAGGGCTAGCACTCTACCACTTGAGCTACAGCGCCACTTCCGGCTTTTTCTGCTTATGTGGTGCTGAGGAATCAAACTCGGGGTCTCAGGCATGCAAGTCAAGCACTCTACCACTGAGCCACCTTCCCAGCCCCTAGGATGCATTTTATTACATATTTTTTTCAGAATATATAAAGCAGGTTTATTGCACAAAATTTAGAATGCACATTAAAGTGTAAGGAAGACAAATTTAAACCTAACAACCCTTCCTCTGAGTAACACTAGTGTTTAGTATTAACATAAACCTCAGAGATTTATCCTGTAAAAAGTTTTTTACAAATTAAAATCACATACTTTATAATCTGGTTTTATAGGTAATAAACTGCACACTTTAACTCGATGACACAAACCTTTCACCTGTCTTGGTGGCTGCTTGGTGCAGTGTGCCTCCACGCACCGGTGCTGTCTCTTGAGGTGTCAGGTGCATGCTTTCCCCTGATGATGCTGTTGCTGCCTGGGCTTGGTTCCCATAGATTCTGAGTGGATCAGGCTGTACTGCTGGGTGTGCAGAGACACAGCACTCCAGGTCCTGAGGATAATTCCAGTTCCACGTGTGAATAACTAAGTGCAGTCCTGTCTCCTGTCTGGGCAGCAGGGGCTCTGGCCTGTCCCTCGGAAGAGTGCCTACTTTGGCAAGATCTGTTTATAAGACGTCGACTGCAGGCTCCTCATAAGAGGCTGAGTTTCCCAGGAAGGACTGGTACTTCCCACTCACTAGTAGCAGGCTCTGGAAGTTAGGCTGATTGCTGTGGGCTTGTTCAAGTGTGATTTCTCTCTTATTTTTTTTCTTTTTTATTGTTATTGTAAAGGTGATGGACATAGGAGTTGCAGCTACACAAGTGAAGTAATGAGCACATTTCTTTTTGGGCAATGTCACCCCTTCCCTTGCTCTCTCCTAGTTTTTCCCTCTGGCATCTCTCTTTATAGAAAAGAGTTTTAAGGCCACCTGGGTTCATGTTTTCTGTGCTGAGAAGTGAAGTTGAGCCACAGGGCTCTTTTCCCCATGAGATGATGCTCTGTGGCCATTATCCTCTCTGGGCATTGATGATCTGAACAAGGTAAGCTCTCCCTCCACTCGTTCCAGACCCTTCTTTCCATGTAGCTACTTGGGTCAGTGACACTGCCCTGCAGCCTTCCTCTGATCCTCGTGAGATCTGGCTGCTCTGCATGTTTGCCATTGACATGATGGGTGGGTCTCACTGCATCTGCTTCACCCGGCACCGCAGTGGGGCTTGGTATACATGAGCCCCATTCTGCAGCACAGTTTGTGTTGGAAGCTAGTGTTGACCCAGGGCGCCTATTGCTGTGGCGACTGGACAGGGGTGGGTGCCTGTGGCTCCTAGGTGATGTGTCCAGCGATACCCAGTGTGGCAGGGTTCACTGTGGGAACAGAGTTTTCTTACAGTGCTGCCTTAGGAAAGACAGGTATTGCTGCCTGAGTTGCCAGGGCTCTTCCAGCAGCTGTGTGTATTATATATATATATATATATATATATATATATA